CTGTGGGCGTGGATCTGCAGGCTGCTGTTCACCACGAGCAGGAGGTCACTGAACTCCTTGCTGTCGAAGAGGCCAGGGAAGAGTCCTATCAGCTGCTGCTGGTGATCCACGAGGTGATCTGGCTCGGACACTTTGTACTGTGGAAAGAAAAATTAATCAGTGAAGCCATGAACAACCTAAGAAATGCACGCACTATAGAGTAGATTAGTTTAAGATCTACACTATAAAAAAGAAAAACGTTACAAGAGGAATATGAACAACACGACTGGCAATTTGTAAGCTTCTCAGATTTAATCAAATCAGTCTATGCTTCACGCTGATCAGCATTTAACTGAACATCCGCCTCCAGAGTAGTACTGTTACTTCACAGCTCCGTCTGAGAGGTTTGAATCTGGTTTGGTCTGAATCACACCTGACAGCCATTCTGATTGCTTTAGAAACTTGCTTCCTAAATTATGTGCACCCACAAAATAAGAAAGTACTCACCATCTCTGCAATTTGCTTGAAAACTGACATGGGATAGGTGCTGTCTGAGCAACGTGCTCTGTCTTTTAGTTTCGTTTTCAGGTTTTACTGTCACAGGGAGGAGTGAAGAGGGAGGGGACAGTTTCTTAGTGTGGGTTGGAAGTCAGTTTGTTCTACTTTCTTTCACTTCAACTTCAGAAAGGCCCATACTTTACTGTTTTAAACAGAACTTGACACAGAGGTCACATCCAGCTCCACTGATGTAATTTTGAAGGATCAAAAGACATGAATTATCTTGTTTTGTTTTTTCATGAAAACCTGCTGTGACCCTCTACAGCCTTTATCTTTAAAAACTATTATTAAGAGGAAATAGTTTTATCATCCTGTCATTACCCAACTCACCCCTAGTTTTCCCTCACATCTAGTAATTGAAAGTGCCAAGTGTGTTTGTACATGAACTTGCTTGTAGACAGTCACATGATTAACCAAAGAAACGAGGTGCTATATACAGTATGGCCCACAGCCATATCACCCTGCAGCTCACAGCTGGCAGCCCCACTGAAGCTCAGTGGGTGGGAGCCTGGTCAGTACCTGGATGGGAGACTCCTGGGAAAAACTAAAGGTTGCTGCTTGAAGTGGTGTTAGTGGGCCCAGCAGGGGGCACTCACCTTGCGGTCTGTGTGGGTCCTAACACTACAGTACAGTAAGGGGGACACTATACTTAAAAAGGTTCAGTCTTACAGATGAGATGTAAAACCGAGGTCCTGACTCCCTGTGGTCACTAAAAATCCCAGGGTGTTTCTTGAAAAGAGTAGGGGTGTTACCCTGGTGTCATGGCCAGGGTAACTGGACACTGTACACTCCATTCAAAGCGCTTAACAGGTAATGGGGACTCCCCTCCACCACCACCAGTGTGCAGCCCCACCTGGATGATGCGACGGCAACCACAGTGCACCAGTATGCTCCCCACACACCACCTCTCAGTGGGAGGAGAACAGAGTGATGAAGCCAGTTCATAGATGGGGATTATTAGGAGACCATGATTGGTAAAATCCAGGGGGACATTTGGCCAGGACAGTGGGGTTTACTCCCCTACTGTTTTTAATCAAAGACCTGGGATTTGTGAGGGCCACGGGGAGTCAGAACTTCAGTTTTATGTCTCATCCAAAGGACGCGCCTTTTTTACACTTTAGTGTCCTTATCATTATAGAGGGCAGTAGGACCCACAAAGGCCATAGAATGAGCACCCCCTTCAGGTCCAAGTAATACCCCTACCAGCAGTGACCTAGAAAAGATTGCTGGAATTCCTGGAAGGTGTTGGAAAATATAGACCTTTGCCAAAACAACCCAGTGCTATAGACAAACGAACAGGTGATACGAGATCAGCACACTCAGACAGAACCTCATACCCAGACTGAAGACATCACAGCAAAAGCTCCTCCAGAGTCTCACCTTGTACAGCTCTCTCCCATTCAGACCACACTCAACATTTTTAATTGTAGGTATTGCTACTCATAAATGGGGGAAACAATCACAAGCACAACGTGTTCTAAATTTTGTTTTTAAAGAGTTACATGTTCATGTAAGGATACATTTTAATTAGCTTTACAGTCTGCAAGGTTGGAAAAGAGACCTGGCTGTGGAGAATGCAGAACTATGATAAGGATAAGGTGTGCAGATAGAACAGGTAAACTAGGAAAAACAGCCCCCCACAGAATGCACATCACTGCTATTATGATCGCTCTGTACAAAAAGTTATTAATTTTGATATGCTGAAGCTAAGTAAAATGCTGTTTATTTTTTTAGAAAGACTGTCAAGTATAAAGTAATGTGCTCCCAGCAATCTGGAACCTAACTCCCTTCCTTCTGTTGGAAATATGGAGGGGAAGCTCTACAGGGCGGTCGGCTGATATTCCTTCCACTCTGTCTGCCCAATGAAGTGAAGCCTCATGGTGTTGTTGCTGACGTACTGCTGCCGCTCAGACTGCGGGATCAGGTCTTCCACTCTGTTCTCCGTCCCTGCAGAACTGAACGTTTTCACCGCGGAGACGAACCACTCGCCATTGTGGAACGTGTGCAGCAGCACAGCGAGTCTGTGATCATGGAGAGACTTATCCAAGCTACATTTCTCAACTCTCCATATTAACACTGTATTGTCCGTGTCTGTTACAATTTGTTCTTCTGTGTAGCAGTAGCCACTATAGCTATTGAGTTGCTGGAACTGCGTTGTGACTCTTTCACCTTTGGGATGAAAGGTAATAGACCACTTGCATTCAGCCAAGAGTGTCTTGGTAGTAAATCTTATCTGGTGTGGTGCTTTACCTTGTGCTGAGTAATTCTCCAATTGCCATGGGCATCCGCTATCACTTGCTTTGTACAGTCTCACAGAAAATGGAGCTGAAGGGATGTCGTTGTGTTCACTGAGGATTTTAATATCAACCGAGTTAGCTTGGTAAGTCAGGGTGCCTTTTCTCTCTACGTATGAACAGATACTTTTGTCACCTATCCCTGAAAATTGGTATTGATAGAGCTCGGACGGCTTCATCACTGGGAATCGAATGTTCTGCAGTACGTCGTTCGTTTGCTCTGGATGATCAGTCAGCCAGTCGACTGCAGCCTTTAGCAATGAGACCTCATTCGCAACCACCAGGTCTGACCTCTTGAGGAGATGGTGTAGGTCATCAGCGTCAATGGACGTCCAGTCTGGAGAGCTGATCACCGTGTCCATGTTCCAGGCAATGAATTTATCACAGGCCTCCCTCAGCTCTGGTCGATCAGCGAGTCGGCCATATTTCCTCCAGGAGATGGCTCTGTTATACATTCTGGGAGTACCAACGTTCTCTGACATGAATCCCTCGCAGCTCTTCTTAAGGCTGGTGACATGGTACTTGTCCGCCAGCATACAGACGGGAAGAGCACTGGCAGTAGTGATGTTGATTGTCCCAGTGTAGAAGTATCTCAGGAAGTCCTGAAAGTGGGGCAGACACTGGTCATCCTCGGTCAGGTGGACCGTGCTCTGCTGGGCCTCTGGCCAGTGCTGACTGCACAGCATGGTCCTGAAGATGCTGCTCTGGGTCACCAGGAGGAGCCTGTGGGTGTGGATCTGCAGGCTGCTGTTCACCACGAGCAGGAGGTCACTGAACTCCTCGCTGTCGAAGAGGCCAGGGAAGAGTCCTATCAGCTGCTGCTGGTGATCCACGAGTTGATCTGGCTCAGACACTTTGTACTGTGCAAAGAAAAATTAATCAGTGAAGCCATGACCAACCTAAGAAATGCACGCACTATAGAGTAGCATTAACTCATAAAATAATCTAATTTAATTGTAATCAAATCTGATATAATGAAATCTCTCTGTGCTTTGTATTATGTTGTCAAGCAAATTTTAATGAACAGCAGGACTCCAGCGCAGCACTGTGGCACAGTGGATAGTGCCGTTTCTTCACAGCTCCAGTGTCCAGGGTTTGAGTCGGTTTGGTCTGTGTGGAGTTTGCATGTTCTCCCCATCTTGACATGGATTTTATTTGGGTCTTTTATATGAGTCGGCGTTTTGCTTAAACTCCTCCATCTGTACAGTTTCTAACCGCTTCTTCTAACACAGGGGCGCGGGGGAGAGGTAGTCTATCCCAACAAGCAGAGAGGCTACATCCTGGACAGGACGCCAGTCCATGGCAGGGCACACACTGACACCAGGGTCAGTTTTCCCAGAAGCCAATCAACCAACCAGTTTATCTTTGGAATGTGGGAGGAAACCAGAGCACCCAGAGGAAACAAACACAAGGGGAACATGCAGACTCCACACAGATAGCAGTCCAGGTGTGGATTGGAACCCAGGCTGCTCAAACTCTATTCAAACAACCTAATCTATCACAGGATCTGTTGCTACAGGAGACAATTTTGGCTACAAACGTTGACTTTATATGCATAAAAATGTTAACTGAATATAGAATTGCAGTAACAGCTCAGTCTCCTGCTGGACGAAAAATAATCATTATTCATAAATCATTGCAACCGCTGCTCTTACATTCAATATATCTAGACTTCTTCTAAAATTAAGAAGTTGCAGTAAAGTTTTCCTGTGGTGTCATAACAGGGACTGCACAACACACAACTGCTCCTGACTGAAGCAACAGCCAATGGCGTTTGAAGAACGTCGTCCGTGAAAATATTTAAAATTGTGGCTGGAGGATTGTCAGTTGCTTCTTTTTACTTTTTTTCCTGTTCATGTCATAATTATCAATTGGTAGGTTACGCAGGTATAAATACAAAATGGCTGGACCAGAGACTTCTCTTTTTAAAAATGTTCCCGTTCATGACCACCGCTGTAATTCAGTACTAAATCAGAAAACATTTGACCGTTAACCTTCATGCAACCCCACACTGTGCGTTTCACTCCTAACCGTGTGGTATTCAAGAAGTCTGCATTAGTGACCACTCCCGAGAGATCACCTGTGCTCAGGCCGTTGCTAGAGCGACAGCAGGTCGCTCGCGGCGCCGCCGGGGGCGTCCTGTGCAGGAGGTGGTGGTCCCGAGGGTTAAGGTTGTCTGGAGAGCGGAGTGCCGCGTTGTCCTGGGTTGGGCAAGTTATGGCGCAAAACAACAAAATCGTGAGACAGAATCCCATCTTAGAGGCATTCTGAATGCGTTATGGGGTTTATTTCTAAATGGCGTGCACCCATGTGACGATACTCACCATAGCTGGGACTTGCTGGAAATACAATAGGTGGGATACAATAGGTGCTGGCCGAGCAAAAGTCTTTCGGTTTCGCTTCCAGTTGTTTCCTCCCTCACAGCGCCTCAGGGAGCAGTGAACGGAGAGGATACTTTCTTGCTTTTCTTAAGCAGTACCTGTGTGATTTCTCTGAAAGCAGTTTAATGTCGGCGATTGTACGTCGATTAGTTTTTCTTTCTCTTGGTACGCTTTAAAAACACCGGCAGTGCACGTAAATAGATTTACGACTCAGAAGTGACATCCAGCTCCACCTACGTGGTTTTAAGTGGTCAAAAAATATTAATTAGATTGTTTTTTAATTGTTTTTTTTAACTGCTTCGACTGTATTCGGCCTTTATCATTCAAGAAAATACTTCTTGTCTTTTGGTTGCCCTTTGTATCTTTTGAGTACTTGCACAGCTTTCTGCTGCGTTCTTTGTTGCCCTGGTTTTAACTTCAGCTGAGTTCTTGATTAGCAGGCTAAATTACCTAGTTTTCTGTGCATTCAATTGCATTCAGCTGTTAAAATACTGAATTGAGATGTGTAATTGGTTTCAACACACTGCCACTTTCTGAATTCCAGAATTCATTTCGCTTTGTTGCTTGTATGTCACCAATTTGAATGTCACCAACTGGACCTCTGCAGAAGAGACAAAAACACATTTCTAATGCACTGTAGTTCCCATCTGTGTCTGTTCCCATGTGTGATCATTTATTGAGAGCTGCTGGGTCTGAAATATGGGCCAGCAAGTGGAGGTGAGATTGCTTAAAAGATTTGAATGCTGATGTTTTTTGAAACCATACACTTAACGGGGTTTATAATGAAAGTTCGGGAGGGATGACAGCAGACTCTGCTGTGGGTCATTCGCAATCACTGTTGATGTCATTATCTCACCTAAAATACTCTAAATACTGTAGGTGATCCCCTTCTCTCTCCCACATACATCTCTTTGCCTTATGCCTCCACCCCTTGGTCACTCCTCAGTTCACAGGGAGGTCCCAGCCTCCTCGTCCTCTGGCCAGGAGGTCAGCCCTCAGCCATTCAGTACACTTTTTTCTTGGGTGTTGCTCCAATCCAGCCCCAGCAACCACTTGCACGGACTGAAAAAGGCCTTTTTACGAACTGTTCGATAATGCAGTAGGGATTAATAATAATAATAATAATAATAATAATAATAATTGCTTACACTTATATAGCGCTTTTCTGGACACTCCATTCAAAGCACTTTACAGGTAATGGGGACTCCCCTCCTCCACCACCAGTGTGCAGCCCCACCTGGATGATGCGACGGCAGCCATACTGCGCCAGAACGCTCACCACACACCAGCTCTCAGTGGGGAGGAGAGCAGAGTAATGAAGCCAATTTGTAGATGGGGATTATTAGTAGGCCATGATTGGTAAGGGCCAACGGGAAATTTGGCCAGGACGCCGGGGTTACACCCCTACTCTTTTCGAGAAACACCCTGGGATTTTTAATGACCACAGAGAGTCAGGACCTCGGTTTTACGTCTCATCCGAAGGATGGTGCCTGTTTACAATATAGTGTCCCCATCACTATACAGGGGCATAAGGACCCACATGGACTGCAGGGTGAGCACCCCCTGCTGGCCCCACTAACACCTCTTCTTCTTCCACCTCCACCACTTGTATGGTTTGTCAGAGGGTGTACTCCTTGTGAAATTGATGTATACTGTGACACAAAGTTTATTTTTATAAAAATTCTTGAGTGTCATTATTCATAGCGAAAAGTCGGTTATTTCTGAAACTCTGGTCTCAGTACAGAAACAAGGCAAGCAGATGTCAGAAGAAGCAATTAGAGGGGTCACTGGTGATTCAGAGCTCCACTGGAACAAAGAGCAGCAGTCACTCTGGGGTCCCCCAAGCTGGCAGCCACAGAGGGGTGTGTTTCTGTGTTTTCTTAAAATTACTGATCCGAATATTGAATTTGCATGTTTCCCCGTAAATCAAGCTTTCAGCTCAACACCTAGGCCCTGCATGTGTTGTCATAGATTTGTTACTTGAAAGATTTGGTAACACATTCTTTTGATACCTTACAAAATTTATTGAATATTTCAAGACAAAGATTTAGTTCATTCTACCAGTGGAATCTTATAAACTTGGTATCATAATATTGATACCACGTGGCTTTGTATATATGTTCTACCTTTTAGATTCTGTCAACATAATTACCTTTCAGGGTTGTCTCCCTAGTTCAATGCTTTGGATATGAAATTGATAAAACGTCCACAGAGGTACTTTCAATACTTTTATTTAGATATTTTGTGAAATACATTGTCCACATGGTTGTACACTAGTGATGTGTCAGAATATCCTTGTTCTTTAATCTAGATAGATGTCAGTGTTGTAGATTACAGAATCCCATGTGTGTTGTTGCTCCTCTATGCTACTATTGTACAATAGACTACAAAAATATAGCTCTTCATTTAAAGGTGCATAGAAATACATAGAAATAATTTCCTTCCCCCTTAATAATAATCTCAAGGTAGTCTTGATATTTCCATTCCATTTCATGGCTTTGTTCCAGCACCTAGGTTAATACAATATAGGACCAATTCTGCAAATATTTGTATATTAATCATATTAATAATAATATCCCTTACACTTCTACAGCACTTTTCTGGACCCTCCACTCACAGCACTTTAAAGGTAATGGGGACTCCCCTCCACCACCACTAATGTTGTAGCACCATGTTGATGATATGGCAGCCAGAGAGCACCAGTACCCTCACCACACACCAGCTCTCAGTGGGGAGGAGAACAGAGAGATGAAGCCAGTTCAGAGATGGAGATTATTAGGAGGCCGTGGTTGGTAAAGGCCAGGGGAAAATTTGGCCAGGAAACCAGCGTTTCCCCTACTCTATTTTCAAGAAACGTCCTGGGATTTTTAATGACCAAAGAGAATCAGGACCTCAGTTTTACGTCTCACTCAAAGGATGGCGACTTTTTTACAGTATAGTTTCCCCGTCACAGCCTAAAGGTCTACAACCACCTCTTCCAGCAGCAATCTTAGCTTTCCCAGTACCCACCAGGTACTGGCAAGGCTCACACCTGCTGAGCTTCAGTGGGCTGCTAGCTGGGAGAGCACTGCTGTTCGTTCAGGCTGGGGGGTGGGAGGGGTCTCCTACAGATTCCAGTGGGGGAGATAAAGGACACTTGTGCAAACATCTGCCCACTTTCCAGGGGCGGGTGGGATGGGAGGTCCCCTTGGTGATTTCCCTGCTCTGTGGGCAGTGAGTGGGTGCAGGGAGGGGGGTTGGGGGGGAGTTGAGTTGACCTAAACCACACCCTGGCACCCCCTCTTCCCCTCTGACTGACTCTTGCTGCTAAATACACGTTACCAATAACTGAACCTCGCTCTGAATGAGATCGGCATTGGCTGTAACAGAGCTTCGTCAGAGCTATTACAGAGGTGCTGCCGCCTTTACAAAATGATTTTACAGCCCAAATTCTGCCTTGATGCAGAATAAATTTGTCTCAGCATGAAGTCCCTTTAATACATAGTTGTCCCAGGTTATTTGTGTAGCGCAACGGGGTTCAGGTGGGCGCCCTCGCCTGCTGCCTATACAGGTCGGCCCCGCACCGTCAGGGACGCGAACCCGGGCCTCCAGCGTCACTCAATAGGGACCCAGCCTAGTGAGCTAAAGAGAGATCTCCCCCCAGCCCAGCGGATGTGGTCCTGCCATTACAGGGAAGGGCGGTGACATCACACTCTTACACACTCAAGGGCTCTTACACTCACTGTCGGCCATAAGCGTTACATTTGTACTAAAATCCTTTACGCAAGTACGTCATGTATCAGCATGGATTATTGCTATATTAACATCAGTAAAGCAGAAAAATACTTCTAGTCTGGTTAAGCATTGGATTTTTTTTTTTGACTGTACAGCATACATTTCAACGTTTCTCAGTTAACCGTATACCTAAAAGATGTAATCAAATTTCTGATGCGCTGCTTTAGGCACGACGCAACGCAACTGACATTCCCATACCTCCCGCCACCTAAAAATCAGTCCGTTAAAATACAGCTAATAAGCGGGTACCGGGGTTTTCACAGTCAGGTGCGCGGCGTGCGGACGCTGCAGAACCGCTGGCAGCGAGGTTACGCAGGAGTCTGCGCACAAACCACCAGCCCAGGAAGAGCACCTGCCCTCCGGCGGCACGTGCTCGCCGCTCCCCGGCCAGAGCCGCTGGTCGCGCGCTGGGCTCCTTGAAAATGACGCCCGCTACCACCGCTTTAAAAAAAAAAAAACATCGTTTCTTTCTTGGTCTACCAGACGTTCTCCTCGACGTTTACCTCATAGGAAAAATAAAAACACGCGAAGAGCGAAAAAGCAGAATTATTTCGCAATTCTTCTGAGCAGGTAGCACGTCTGATGCCAGTTATCTTTGCGATTCCGCTGCTGACGATCTGACTTTCCATCGCGGTAAAGTTCGCAAATTTCAAACCGGGCACGTTTTTTAACTGATAATGTTTCAATAAAATTGTTTATAGGTATACATGAGTTATACAGGTTTATTCACGTCACGCCATGGTCATATGAAGTAAAACCCCTGGCCAAATTTCCAATTGGCCCTTACTAATCATGGCCTCCTAATAATCCCCCTCTATGAATTGGCTACATTACTCTGCTCTCCTCCCCACTGATAGCCGATGTGTGGTGAGCGTTCTGGCGCACTATGGCTGCCGTCGCATCATCCAGGTGGGGCTGGACACTGGTGGTGGTGGAGGGGAGTCCCCATTACCTGTAAAGCGCTTTGAGTGGAGTGTCCAGAAAAGCGCTATATAAGTGTAAGCAATTATTATTATTATTATTATTATTATTATTAAAATCCTAAAATTTAGAGAGATCAAACACCATCGTGTTAAATCGCTAGAAATGTCTGTAGGAACTCGCTTTCATTAACCATTCAACCTGTCCTAAATTCCCTGCGCTCAATCTGCTGACGGGGTTTTAACCGCCAGTTCGGGAGTTTTCCGTCTCCTCCCAGCCGCCGAGAAAGCGACCACTTCCCTCTGATGTCCCGTGAAACCGGGACACCCGCTGGACCGCAGGAACGGTGTCCTCCTTTGCTCGACTTTAAGCAGTACATGCCCCTGAAGACACCATAAAGAATAAAAAGACAATATTTGTACTCGAATCTATGTGTTTATCTATTGCTACGATCGGTACCGTTTGTTCTGCGTGAGATCGAGGACTAACGGTTTTTGCGCGAGAGGAAGGCGCTAAATTTTAAAGCCTCGCGTACTCTGCTCACAAGTTCTAACGCCCCGTTCCCACGCTTTACGAGTTTATCAATACATACATACATCGCTGTTTTTCTGCGTTTCTCTGCCAAGACGGCAAAGGGTGACTTGTCTCCATCTGCCGGGCAGACTACGAGCAGGGAGAGGGTTAAAAAAAGGATTAAAAGGGGAAAGGGCGACTGCTCTGACGGATACCGTGACAGTCCAGGCAGCCGCCCGCCTCTCCGCCCCTCCGCCCCGCCGGTGCTCGCTCGCTCGCTCTCCGCTGTCCCGGCCCTCCCCTCCCTGCCCGTCAGAGCAGCAGGCAGGTCCCGGACTTGGCGCTCTCTGCCGGCGGCACGTAGTTGTAGTTCAGGTCGTTGGGCGTGCTGCCCTTCTGGCCCCACACGTTCAGCTCGCCGAAGACCCCCGTCTCGATCATCTCATCCTGCCAGGGGATGGGGATGTTGCCCGTGGCGAACTCGTCGTAGAACTCCTTGTCCTTGTCGTCCAGCACCACGCCTTTGACGGTGCTGAAGGCGCCCACGTCGCTGATGTCCTTGGCGTACACCATCTTGGGGTCGGGGACGAACGGGGGGTCGATGAGGCCTGGCCAGACATTTACACGGACGAACGAAAGCAAGAAAAAAAAAAAAGGAGTCAGCGACCCGAGCCGGGGAGAAGAGAGACATTTCCTACATCAGCAGGTTAGAGGAACTGCACCCTCTCTGTGTCTCGAATGGAGAAGAGACCCAGGAAGTTTGACCGAGCAAGTCGGCCCTTTCCACCTGGAGCGAGCGCGGTTTCGCTCGTGTACCGAAGAGCCGAGGACACGCGTGGGATCTGAGAGGAGGGAAAACAGGAGCCATTTCTGCATACCGGGTCTGGAGAGGGTGTGGAACAGGCGGCCCAGTGGCGACGTGAAAGGACTTTTACATTGGACTAATGAGAATCGATTTTAAGTGGAAAGTTTTGCCGCCTGTCCCTGTCTCTCTTCCAGGGGTTGTTCAGCAGTGGACCCTATCTATGCCATTACAGTCTTAAACACCAGCCTGTTTAGCTGTCTGCCAGACTGTAAATGTGTGAATTAAGCAATTCACAGCTACCTGTACTGAACACCTGGATTGGTGTGGACTGAAAGCGCTTGGACTTGGAGTTCTTTTCGACAGGTAGGTGGAAGGAGAGGCAGACACACTTCTGTGACTTGCCCACCTGTCCAAACCTATCGCCCTACCGACGAGTCTCTCCTTCCGAGGTGCCTGAGGGGGAGGGAGGATCCTGGCCGGTTTCGGTCCCGACTCTGCCCGCGGGTGACCGGTCCCGGGTTCTGACCTGCCTCCAGCCGGCCCCAGTTCAGGCCCCGGAAGAAGGGCTGTTGCTTCAGCTCCGCGCACTCGCCGTTCCGGAAGCCCAGGCGCCGCGCCGGGTCCTTCTCCATCAGCCTCTCGCACAGCGCCTTGCAGTCAGCGCCGAACACGTCCGGGTAGGAGACGGGGTCGTTCAGGATGCGCCGGGTCACCTCCTTGAGCTCCACCTGCGTCGGGACCCGGAGAAGACGGGGGGGTCACATCGGGGTGGGGGGGACCGCGAGGGCTCCCCGCGCCTTTCCAATGCTCTTCCTGACCGGACGAACTGCGGCCCCTCTGCTGATGGTTTTAAACCTCGCCACAGAACGGCCATGTTTTCAACTTCCTCATCTACTTCTTTTAATTGTACGTTCATACCTGGCTTTACTGTATGTTTCGTTTACAGTACTTTTCTATATGTATAATTTGTGTAATGGGCATTTAGAATGGTCTGAATTAAAAGACACCCTATAAGAATACAATTGATTGGATGAGGGGGTTGGAGTCAACATGTTGGGATTGATTAGATAAAGAATGCAGGTTGCCAGGTGATTCCTTGTGATCCTAATTTTTTAGTTCAGTGCAGTTTATTGTCACATGCACAAGAGCAATGAAATGCTTATTTGGATGTATGCCCCAATACTCCAATACAAAGACGTTAAAGGAACCACCAAAAACAGACACAGAACAGCAGCAGCAACAACAAGTTCAATAACATACAGCTTAAAAAAACATCAGTGTGAGGCAGTGGTAGGGGCAGAGTTCAGTAATCTGACATCTTGTGGGAAGAAGCTGTCTCTGAATCTGGAAATTCATGCCATTATGCTTCTGTAACGCTTCCCAGCAGAGGGAAGGGGGGAGAAAAGTGAGAAACCGGGATGACTGGTGTCCTTAGCGATACTTCCAGCCTTCCTGAGACAGCGAGTTGTAAAAATGTTCACAGAAGAGGGGAGCTGTACTCCAATGATGGACTGGGCTGACCTGATCACCCCCCCCGACGCCTTCCGGTCAGACAACGAGCCGCTGCCAAACCACACTGTAATACCACACTCTCTATAGCGGACCTGTAAAATCTGAGAGGGTGTTTTTAATGGTGTTTAGTGACGGCTGTAAACAGCTCAGGAAACAGACACCAAACCAGAGACGCACATCTTTCCATCCGTTTCTAACAGCATGGAAAGATGTGTGTCTTTCCGCACGGGAAAGCATGTTTCTAACTGCCTCATCCAATTCAGGAGCCTAACCTACAGCAGCAAACAGCTGGCATTAGGAAGGGTACACCCTGGATGGGACGCTAGATCATCGCACACACACTCACACCAGAAGCCAATTAACCTACCTTGAAGGTAGGAAACCGGAGCACCTGGAGGAAGCCCATGCGACCATGGGAAGGAACATGCAAACTCCACACAGACAGCACATCAGGTCTGGAATTGGACCCAGGGCCCCAGCGCTGTGAGGCAGCAATGCTCCCCACTGCGCCACCGTGCCGCCCCCAAAGACACCCAATAAGCCAAAAACCAAAGATCCTGACGGCGCTTACTGAACTCTTTCAAGGCAAAAAGCAGACAATGGGGGCGTCTTACTGCTCTCTGCTCTGCAGGGCGGACGGGGGGCCCTAGCTGAGATCGGGGGAGATACCTTTTCTCCACGGCTCCGGAAGGGGCCCTTGGCCGCGATCATCTCGAACACCGTCACCCCCAGAGTGAAGTAGTCCACGCTGTAGTCGTACTCCTCGTTCTTCAGCAGCTCCGGGGCCATGAAGCCTGCAGTATCAACACCCTTACCCGGCTGTTACAGCAGACAGCGGCTCCACCCTGCTCCTGCACAGTCCCAGGCCAGCAGCGCCAGTTCTAGGGAACTGCAGTCAATTCACCTTGTCTAATTAAGCCATTGAGAGGTAAGATGGAATGAAAATTAAATGACTCTGGAGCAGATGTGGAGACTTCACCCAGATGCAGTAAGATGGGCAGTCATGATCACTGGAGGCCCATGGTTATTTAATTAAATCCCAAAGCAAACATTTAACTGTACTTTCTTCTATCAGATATTAATACAGTATACTATAAAAACAGGCAACCTGCACATGGGCTTTAAAACTCTTTCTCATACAATTGGAATTGACCTCTGCATGTGTGCCTGAGCCCATAATGGAAATGGAGAACACTGCAGTGCTATAATTCCCCTGAGTCTCTCCAGAGCTCCTAAACACAGGTCCGCTGAGGTTCTGTTGCCTATATAGGAAACCAGGGTGTCTGAGTATGTGCCTTCTGTAATAGAGTGATGTGTAAGCACTGGGTTAGATGCACATGGGTTGTGACACATGTGTGTAGTTAGAGAAGTCAGAGTGGAGTGTGTGTGAGTGTATGTTACTGCAAGGCAGCTGTAAATCTGTCATTTGCAGTTAATAAATGTTCAGAACATTAACGTCCTGTTCCTTAGAGTAAATGTATCTTAGTAGTAGGTTCTAAACAGAACCAAAAGAAAAATATACCACAATTCTGTCTAACAGCCGGATGTCTCTGATACATGTCATTTGACATTGGATTCTGATGTTCACACTACTTGTGAAAATCTACAATACTACTGAACTTGCTGGGGATATTATTGATATTATTAGAGATGACAGACCTGGAGTTTGGAAGCATTCATAGCACATGTGGCATATGAGAGAGACAGAGAGCGTGTTTTATAGAAACAGTGCTCCTAATAATATAAACCCATGAACCAAAACTCATCACTTGTCTTCTACAGCTTCTTAACTGTGGAAGGGAGTCGCATGTCAAAGCAGGACCTTGAGCATGTGATATTTATCGTGTCAGGACAGACAGAATCTAACAGGCTAACAGGCTGCACTGACCTGGCAGACAAATGAACAATAATACTGACCTGGGGTGCCTGCATATCCTTTAGTCTTGTCATGACCTTCCTCCAGCTCCACAGATAGCCCCAAGTCTGATAGCCTGACGTGTCCTGAAATGATACGAACGGCGAGCAGCGTCCATAAAACACACAGAAATCGTGCATGGCACTTCAGATACTCAGAGGAGAGATAGGCTCTGTTCTGTAGGGGTGATAACCCCGGTGTCCTGGCCAGAACTCTCCCAGGCCCTTACCAATCAAGGCCTCCTAATAATCCCTGTCTACAAATTGGCTTCATCACTGTGTTCTCCGCCACACTGATATCTGGTGTGTAGTGAGGGTACTGCTGTTGCATCATCCAAGTGGTGCTGCACATTGGTGGTGGTAGAGGGGAATTCCCATTGCCTGTTACGCACTTTGAGCAGTGTGTCCAGAAAAGTGCTATATAATTGTAAGAAATTAGTCAATATTATTTTCCATTTGAAGCCTTACTTAAGACTGGGCTAAAGGCGATTGTGGGTAAAATAGGAGCATTGCCCTATCCTCTTCAGAGGGATATGCCTATGGGGGGGTCAGTACCTGCATCATCAAGCAGCACGTTCTCAGGTTTAAGGTCCCTGTAGATGATCCTGTTTTGGTGCAGGTGCTCGAGGCCACAGATGACCTGGGCTGTGTAGAAACAAGTCCGCTCCTCGTTTAAGCCTGGATTCTTCTCGTCCACGTTGTAGATGTGGTATCTGCAGAGGAGGTGGGTGAGTTACAGATGTGTCTTCAGCCTGAGATTGATTAGATGTTTATTAAAACGTTTCTACAGCTTGAGGTTTATTATATGAGTTAGAACGTTTATTAAAACGCATAGCAAGCATAGTGAGGGCCCAGGCCAGAGGGTGACTTTTCATGCTTTGTGACTGGTGAGTTATAGCAGTCGCCTACAGCTCCCCCTCCTGCAGGGCTAGGTGTGTCTGAGGAATTTCCTTCCAACCTAGCTCTTAACAAACTACAACCATTCTTTTGTTGGACAAACACAACCTTCTGCCAGATCTGTGGATTTTAGTGTTCTAAATAGATCTAAATAGCATGCAGACATACCATCCAGGACCAGGATTGAACACGTCATGGTTCTAGACCTTTATCAAAGATAGAAAGCTTTGTCTTCATTCTTAAACTTTGTCTTTTCCAGGTAAAAGAGAACAAAACATACTATTTCTCCAAGGATGCATTCTGGCATATTTTGACTTTGCTGGGTTGTAAGAGTCATGGGATCCTGTATAGGCCTCTCAGACTACTGCACAAAGTAGTGACACACAAAGTTAATGTACGCTGGGCCTCTCTGTATTGTATTGGCTATAGTAGATCTTGGTGGACAGTTTTAAAAGTGTTTTGCAAGGATCAGCTTTATTTCTCTATTTGGTCCTTATTCAGGACTGGCCTAACTAATCTTGCAGCGCCTCTCTTAGAAAATCAAAACTTTCAGTGTTCTGAAACCAGAAGGGCTGAGGTGGAAAACTTGGGCCAGTGGAGGCTGGCCCTGCAGGTTCATTTGTAGGAATTTGTCCACCTGTCCCTTGATAGAACATGATTCTATTCTTCTAACGCTTACAATGGGAGAGAGGTTGCAACACCTACTGCTGTAGCCTGTTGCTCTTTATCAGCCTCAGAGGAATGGCAGCCCCAGCAGATTAACTGCAGGATTTATGCAATAGGCAGATTAGCCAGGATTAGGGGGAGAGCAGGTGCAGAACTCTCACTCACCTCACACAGGTAGATTGAAAGTGATATAGTCATCCCTGCTCACAGCGTTATAACCCTCCCTAGTGCCTCAGGGTGTAGCAGTTTGGACCCATCAAAGCCCCAAACTGGTCCTGCATTATTCCACTAACAAGAGTATACCGACGGTACTCCTTTTGCCTCTAGTTCACAGCAGTTACATAGGTGTCCCTTTGCCTGGGCCGCACTGCACTGTCTGTACTGTGGATGGGTGGATGTGTATGACAGATTTAGACAGATGGACAATCTCCATTGCCTTTGCTGTCTGAAGACAGCTAGAGGCCCTACATTGTAAGTTTGCTGCTCAGGTTTCAAAATAAATGAAATGCAAGTAGAAATCCCGATTTTTTTGTGCAGGAAAAGGAGTTGCACCTGAGGTCTCCTCCGTTCATGATGGTCATGACCAGGCAGAGGTCTGTCTTGGTCTGGAAGGCATAGGCCAGCGTCACAATGAAACGACTGTGGACCTTTGCCAAGATCCGCTTCTCCACAATCGCTCCCTGGTGGTAAGAGACAAACACAACATCATTCCCAGGGAGTTGCAGTCCTGCGTACCTCTAGATCAGGGGTGTCCAAACTACGGCCCACGGGCCAATTGAGGCCTACCACTGTTACCGAAACGGCCCGCGAGTTAATTTAGAACTATAATTAGATTTGGCCTGGTATTAAGTAAAAAATGCAGTTCCTATTTTGAACACTAGATGCCGCCATGACGCAAAATCACATCTCAAAACTGATCAGCTACCCTCTCTCCCCCTCTTTACCCTCTTCAAAACTTTAATTCTGTACATTAACGTTAGCAAGCTTTTCAAAATGGCAGAACCAAAGAAAAGAAAAATTGACAGCAAATGCAGGAGATTCCAGCCATGCTGGCAAAATGAATACTAGAGTTCAGAGGCAAGAGGCAAGAACAGCAATTCTTCAGTCCAAGGCACAGCATCACTGTTCCCATTAGTAGAGTCATCACTAGTGAGTAACATTTGTGAAATCTTCCAATATATTAAAATGAGATAATATCATTATTTATACAGGCCATTTCAAGTACAAAATGCTTATAACTCACCTATTAGGATAGTCCCACAAATTAAAAGGCAATTTGGTTATTGGAATGCACTTATATCTGGTATTATTTGTTTATGAACATGTAATAGGTTTATTCCATGCTGAAAAAAAGAAGAAAGAGAACACAACGTTTCGGCCGTGGAGCCTTCTTCAGGTGTCACACAGGTGCCACACCTGAAGAAGGCTCCACGGCTGAAACGTTGTGTTCTCTTTCTTCTTTTTTTCAGCATGGAATAAACCTTTTACTTGTTCCTTTGCAGCCTACGCATGCTGACGCAGCTACCCACCTGAATTATTTGTTTATTTTTATTATTAGATGTCTGCTGTGGCCTATTCTTTTCTCTATCTGGCCCCCAATAATAAAGGTTTGGACACCCCTGCTCTAGATCAATGAGTCAAGAACCTGTGACAAACTGTAATCAAACTGTATCAAGGTTTCCCCAGTGTAGTCAATTAATTACTTAGGGGCTGATCACAGCTCTCCACAGAATCACAGTCCTAGTCCTGGATATTACTTTAATACAGGGTTTTGAATTAGCAACTCATCATTTATGTTTACATTTACATTTCTTAAGGGTGCTGTTCATTAGATCATCTTGGGGAATTGGCCGCTGGTAAAAAAAGGAAAATAAACCTAATGTGAACATAAACTAGCCTGGCACTCCACATAAAGGAACAGAGAGTCCGTCATACACCTCTGCGCAAGGGACAACTGTGTCTGTGTATTGGGCCCCCTACTGGATAGGAAGACTAACAACTCTGTCTCATTGAACCTATTACAGTGGCTCAAATATTTTGGGGGTCCAGTCCTCTTTCTGCTGTTACTTGCAGTGGCTCCTGTATGGGGGTCCCAGGACTCTTGAGGATCCTCATAAGACAGTCCAGAGGGTCCCAAGAAGAATGTGGCAGCTTACCATCCTTAAACCTCCTTTTATATCGGATCATATCAGCTCCCCTATATCAGCTCCTTCAGGGAGGTTTTTCCTAACATTGTTCTGAGGGCTGATCACCTTGTGTGACCGCCATTAAATATTTCACATGACAACGTCTGAAGTGTGGTTGCTTGTACTGTACGTCTGTTAAGTGTTCTCTGGCGCGCACACCGAGCCAAGCCTGGCCCGGCTCGGGGAGCTCAGGGACCTGCCCTGCGGGAGGGCTGAGGAAGGTTAATCTCCATTACCTGTTAAGGCCCTGACAAGGCGGAGTGCGATTGCACTGGACACGGCTCTCTCCCTCTTCCAGGGCCTGAGCTGCTTTCCAGGGTCTCGCTGAGCTGCAAGCCTCTTTGCGGACAGTAAATACTCCCTGATTACTGCGAACTAAGTCGCTGCACTTAAATAACTCATGCAATCTCCTCTCGCTGCCAAGCTGTCTGTGTCTCCTTCTCCGCAAGGTTAAAAATAGAGCTGGGCAGCGATTGACGGAGCTGTGCGGGCTCTCATCTCCTAAACCGCTTCGCGCTTTCTTTTTTCACCCTGTTCCTGAGCCGAGCTCCGTTCTCCTGCTTTCCAAGCCCTGCCGCTCCCTCCCCTCCCCTCCTGCTAATGCCCTGGACTCAAACTATGTAACACGACCAGAGAACAGAGGTGTCCGACATCCAGCTACATGATAGCACAAAATCCAAGAGAAATATGTGGTCTTTAGGGACAAAAACACACGGAATCTTTAAGTACTGTGTAGCTAGCTAATATTCTGTTATCTGTGGCGAGCTCCGCTGGATTCCCTTAAGAAGGTTTACAAAAAAAAAATCTGGACAATATTCTTGCAGTTTCCCAGTGTTTTTTCGCTGTGCTCATACTTTGTTTTTACTTCCCAAATTTGCTGTGGCCTGATCATGCTTTAACTACGATTCCCCACTGAGCTACACAAGACTCCGCTATGCTTAAGTCATGGCAGACCACAGTTCACACTTGTAAAGCTTCGCACAGGACTTGCAGGATTTTCACGAGTCCTATGTGACTTTTAGCAAGAAACGCGCAAAGTGCCTTCAGGACATATACAGGAAGTGGGCAGAGTTCCAACCTCAGACAAGTACAGTGGGATCAAAGCCTGAGGCACATGGTCCCACTCATGGTCTCACAGTAAAGGGGGGGCACGCTCATTTGCAGACACAGCCTCGCACCCAGGCACGCACACACACACACACAGAGCCAGTGTGGTCACTCTGTATTTAAAGGTTGGGATTAGGATTATTAATTATCTAGGGTATTATTCTAAATAAGATCATGAGGACCTAAGTATTTATAATAATATTTAACATTTGTGAGCAGATGAGCAGAGCAGAGATCATAGCATATGTTTAGGTGTTTGCTGGGTTTAGAACATCATGAATACTCGTGTACTCATTTAATCTCGGAAAAACGTAATTCACAATTAAGGATTAAGGAAAGTTTATAGCATTTTATATAGCCTCTCTAAAGGCTAAATGCTGGCTCTACAAGATTACTGAAAGTAAAGTGTTAGTTCAGCCGTGTGGGTGTGCTCCTACTGGCGCTAACTGCTGTCGCTTCATAACAAGCTGTTATTACCGGATAAACTGTTAATAACAGTTCGTTTCATGGCTGAGGTTGTCTGGGACAACAAATGTGAAAAATGCTACATCGTACTGAGTTCTGCAGGGCATTTTCCACCTTTAAGAGTATCACCCCCCCTTATCCACTCATACTCAAAGCCAGGTGCCCGGCCACTCTTTTGCAAAGCTTTGGGGGGGGTTCCAGAGACAGCACCTCGTAGCCCTTGCGCTTCTTCAGCCTCTTCTTGTTCAGCTTCTTGTTGGCGTACATCTTGCCCGTGGCTTTCATCTGGCAGGCGTGCACCTCCCCGAACCCCCCTTTCCCCAGCACCCGGAAGTCCATGAACCACTCCTCCGTCACCGCCTGCGCCTCCAGCCACTTGAACTGCACGAAGCGCAGGAAGTACAGGCTGCCCCTGAAGCCCTCCAGGGCCCTGCTCTCCAGGTGGCGGAGCAGCTGCTGCTCGCTCTCCTTGAACAGGTCCCCGCGGCAGTTCTTGTGGTCCTCCTTCACCCGGGAGATGGCCTTCTCCTCCAGGAAGCCGCAGAAGGTCTTGGAGGCTGAGTCGTAGTACTTGTTGACCATCTTCTGGGCCTTCTGGGGCCGGTCCTTCTCCTCGGCCGTGTTGTAGTCCTCGATGTCCTTCCAGAGGGTGCCGGCCGTCTTGAAGGCCTCCTCGCTCTCCAGGTACTGCTGCAGAAGGCGCTTGCCGATGGGCTGCTTGATGCACATGTTCTCGAAGCCCGTGTCCACAGTGGCCTTCATGTGGTCGCACACCTGGATGTGGGGCAGCTTCAGCCTGGCCCGCATCTTCTTGTCCCGCATGGTGGCCGCCATGCCGCCGTCCATGCTCCCCCGGGCCGTCACGTAGGCCGAGTTGGCCACCACCGTCTCCAGGCCGCTGATGTCCATGGCGTCGGGGCGGGGCTACTTCCTGTCAGGAGGGGAAGGAGAACCACGGTCAGATCACTGTCAGGGGCTCTCCAGGTTCAATTAACGTCAAATATGGGCATCCCTCAATTCACGATTTCATGAATTCATGAATTCATAATCCGTTGCCTGAAAACTGTTCGGGAGGTGAAAAAGCGCCAATTCAAAATGCATTATCATAAGATTATACATAAATCCCTCTGATCACTTCCTGAATCCCAGAAAAAAAATAATTTTCAAACTAACTTTTGTGTTGTACTGAGGCATTGCAATGAGAACTGTATTATGCTAGCAGCCATGTCACCCTGCAAGTCACAGCTAGCAGCCCACTGAAGCTCAGCAGGTGTGAGCCTGGCCAGTACCTGGAGGGGAGATCTCCTGGGAAAAACCTAAGGTTGCTGCTGGAAGAGGTGTTAGTCGGGCCAGCAGGGGGCGCTCATCCTGCAGTCTATGTGGGTCCTTATGCTCCAGTATAGTGATGGGGACGCTATACTGTAAGCAGGCTCCGTCCTTTGGGTGAGATGGCCCTGACTCTCTGTGATCATTAAAAATCATTAAAAATCCCAGGATAATTCTCAAAAGAGTAGGGGTGTAACCCTGGTGTCCTGGCCAAATTTCCCATTGGCCCCTACCAATTATGCCTCTTAATAATCCCCATCTCTGAATTAGCTTCATCACTCTGTTCTCCTCTCCACTGAGAGCAGACTGGTGCACTTTGGCTGCCGTCATACCATCCAGGTGGGGCTGCACACTGGTGGTGGTGGAGGGGATCCCCATTACCTGTAAAACACTTTGAGTGGAGTGTCCAGAAAAGCACTGAATACGTGTAAGCAATTATTATTATTAATTAGTAATTTCCTTTTTAGTTACTGACCAGTAAAGCCTAGTTAACCTAACTGTCCACCTTCAATAGATAATAGCTGTTTTTTATATTGTGCAGTATTTATCATTTTAAAAGTAGTAGACAAAACTTACTATACGAATAATGTAACCGTTTGCTTTCAGAAAACCTTAATTATTAATGTAAAAAAAACAAAGAATGAATTGAAATTAATTACATTACATAAATAACATAAAATTAATTAAATGAATGCATGTGACAATGTAGGGTGCTTAGTGCCATGCTACGCAATGATGTTTATTCACAGCAGGAAGCTCACCAGTGAAGGGATTTTGTTTGTTATAGAAAAAACTGTGTTAATTTTTTTAATTAAAAAAGGCAGAAATTTGCACTCTTCATTGCAGCAAAACATTTGTGAATCCGTTGTTCATAAATTGTGGGTTGCTTGTATAGATATCTCTCTATATATATCACATAGTTTGAGGCGTAAGACAACCGATGAAAGCTCTCCTTGTGTATGTGTATGACATAGTGCTCAGCGTCAGCTGCTGTGAAAAAGCCAAAAGAAATAAAAAATCATCGAGTACTCATGGAGGCCATGGGTCAGTCGGCAATGATGCGCAAACACCAGGGTCCAGTTTTGAATAAACTAGTCCCAGTCCCAGAGGATAATAAGATATGAGCAATAGCAAATACTGTCCAATCAACAGAAGGTATTCCCAAATATTTCATATCTAATTGAAGAATGGGAGACACGTGGATGTTTTGTTTACGTGGCAGTCCAATTAAACCAATAACAAGCTGGTATTATGTGCAGAACTGAAAACATAAAGCATAGTTGTAAGCAGACGCTCATGGTAAAGACTTGGGTGTTGGTTATATGCCACTTCTAGACACTATGGGGAAGTGATAAAGAGGCAGACAGAATGTTGGAGCAGATTTCTATGAATGAGTGTTACCTGTATGTAAGAAGGGTATAATGCACTAGTAAGACCTCATTTAGAAAATCATCTTCTTAAATGCACTTTTCATTTGTGTCCCCTGGTTAGCATCTCATTTGGTAATCGTAAAAGAAGTCCGTTGGACTGACTTTATCAGTGCCTTTGTGGAATGCATCCACTTGAATCATGTCCCTCCTCTTTTGGTCAAGACTAAAGAGAGGTTTTGTTTTTAGTCTGCCTCCTTTAAACTGGCCACTCTGTTTCAAATACAGAGCAGCAATATTGTGTTTGAAAAGCAATGATCAAAATTGTGTACAATATCAAAAATGGGGTATTGATCATTCACATTACAAATGCCACCACATGCAAATATGGGTCCCAGTTAAATTACCAGAATAAGTCTCATGGTCCAAAAAGGGCAAGCATACTTTTTTCTGTGTTTTTTTTCTTGTAAAAGGTCATGTTTTTTTCCCGAACCACTGCCTCCACTGTGTGTACTGCAGATAGGAGTTCCTGGCGGTGCAGTCAGTGAATTGACTACTGAGCCAATATTTGCACTAACTGCCCCTGACTTCTCCAGGTCTTTAAGCTGTGGTGATTCAGCAGCTGAGACTGTGTGGTGACTGCAGGTCCAGAGTAGAGAGCTGCCTGAGCCGATTCAGGCCCATGTCAGATATCTTGGCAGATTATCTGTGATCTCATTGTGAGGTCGCAGATCGCCCCCTTCCTTTCCCCACAGAACCACACACAGCCTTGCCTGGCCAGCTGGCTGCTTTTATTGGATTACCTTTAAAACAGTGGATCGGCAATCCAGTCCACATGTCAGGCTTCAGAGCCAGAGCGCGACCCCTCTTTGCTGGGCTATGCTCTGAGCCCGCTGTTCGCCTGGAATTGCTGGGCTCAAGTGTGCACGTTGGGGGTGACTGATCATCTGCCACAGAATTCCGCAGGTGTTTGACTTGATCTCACTGACCCTTTCACTGCCCCTTGCAGATTTGCTTGCTGAAAGTTCAGTGAGCGTTACTGGCAAATACAGCAGATTCCCCCAGATTGTTCAGACGTATTTAATGAGACCACAGGCTTGTGTGTGCTGGCTAGTGAGTATAAATGAGTGCATATGCAGCATCTCTGAATATCTGTGCATGGTATGAAAAGGAATTTTCAGATGACAAATTTAGCGGATTCAGGAAGTGCATTACTGAAGCATACTTCAATTTAAGTATGCTAGGATTCTAGCAAAATTATTAATACCATGTGACATTTTGTAGGCCTTTGAAGAAATCAAGTCAGCGTATTGCCCTATGTGCTGTCTGATTTGGGGACAGGTAACACAGTACAGCCACAGTGAGATCAAGGCAGAACACAGAAAAGTGCAGTAATGTTCAGTGAGATCGTGGCGAAAGCATGGTAAGGATCAGAAAGAAGGAGGCAAACTGCAGAGATATATGAGCAGTTGCACAAGGAAATAAATCACTGCCATTGCTGGGAGGTTTAAATCCACATTTGATATCTAAGATAGGTATTATGTTGCATTTGTTGAATTTATTATGAAGCATTATGTTGCATGCTTCATAGATAAAAAAGACACCAACAGCCTATTAGCCCATAAAAATGAATTAAGTTTTTAATGTTTATCTCATCAAGGGCCACTTCAAATGCTCTTGCAGTTTTTCCGCAGTCTTAGAGTTAGAGTTTGTTTGCCATGTCAGTGCTCGGACAAGCCATTCCTGCTCCCAAAGGGGCGGAGCGGTGGCTCTGTGGCTAAGGATGTTGGTTCAAATCCCACAGCCGGCAGAGGAATCCTACTCCGTTGGGCCCCTGAGCAAGGCCCTTAACCCCAGCTGCTCCAGGGGTGCTGTATAAATGGCTGACCCTGTGCTCTGACCCCAAGCTCCTGTCCCCGCCTGTGTGTCTGTGTGTCTCATGGAGAGCAAGCTGGGGTATGTGAAAAAGACAAATTCCTAATGCATGAAATTGTATAGGGCCAATAAAGTGATCTTGATCGCTTAAAGATGACGCTGTAGCTCTGGTGAGAACCACTAGGGGGCAGCAGAGCACACTGCTGCCAAACCATGCTGGGACACATCAGCTGAGCCACAGAGGTGATACAGATTTGGGGGCAAAGCAGTGGTTTGAAACAGAAACCATCTGTCATACAAAGAGGGGAGTTAGTACCCTAATCCCCACTGTGCATCGCCCACTCGTCTTACTGCTGATATGTAACACAGTACTGTCTTATTTCCACCTGAAAGATAAATGGTACAGAGCCTCAGTGGCTCATCAGGCCAGAGCTCGTCCACGAGCAGACTAATGGTCATGGCACAGGGGGGGAGAGGGAGAGGGAGGGGGAGAGGGAGGGGGGTCTCCCCCAGGGCTGTGGCTAAGATACGACTTCCATCTTGGTCTTTTACAGTGGCAGAAACCGATCCGAGTGGCTGGTCTGGCCTTCCCTAAAAAGTCGGTGGTTTAGCTTTGGGGAGCTCTGCGTTCCCTCGTCTGATGTCATTGCATCCTGTCCCATCCTCATCTGGGCCTCCTCGGTGCCCAGACCAGTGATCTGGCCGGGGCTTGGAGGTAGCACGGGCCTGGAGTGCTGGGCTGACACAGTCATGTCCATGCTGTACGGTGCTCCTAGCTGTTGGTAGCTCTTGGTTGTGTGGCTGAGACCCCGAAAGGGGTTGATGATGGCGGGCGCGGCAGGGAGGTTATATTGTTGTGTTCTGTGTCTGGAAAATCTCAAATCTATGAAAATTGCTTCCCAATCCAGAGATATACAGTAAATAAGTTTTGCAGGCAGTATGTTTTTTAGAGCCAGTGATCTGTCCTTTTTTTTTTCCAAACGGAATATTTGTCAAACTCGCATGGTAACCTACTGTTTTCCTTGATGGGCAACAATCTTTCAATCTTTTGAGGGGGTCTCTCTCCCCAAAGACAAGAGAATAGGGAGCACACCGAGACAGGATAGTAGGAAGATCAGACCCAGGCTGTAGACTAGAATCAAACAAGGTTATTCCTACAGGTGCTAGAACAGAATCCGATTTGCCCTTTCGGTATCAATTAAGAAGCTGTAGCATGGATCAGTGTTCTTCAATTTTGAACCGCGGTTAACCAATAGAGGCACTACATCTACAATGGAGCAACAGAGTCAAAAATCACACTTACTTCACTCTTCTTGCCTGAAACAGACCGTTAGAACAAGCCCCCCCAGAGACAGGAGCAACAGGACCCTGTACAATCCACGATCCGGTCTTCTCTTCCCACTCACCCTTCCAGAAAATAACCAACAGCAACCTCCTCTTTTTTTGTTGTTGTAATTTTCACAGCCGGCACGTTTCCAGTTCCCAAAGGTGCCTCCCTGATCACCCCTCCATCTCTCTCTTTCTCCGAGCTCCCTCCCTCTCTCTTTCCTTCCCTCCAAGATGGGAGTCTTAAAAGAAAAGGACCCCAGTGAACCGAAATCCCACTTGATAGTTCGTTAGCTGCCGGGATTACAGCTCTGTATCTTAAGGAAGGAGGCTTGTCAGGCGAAATTAGGATAAATCTGCTGGAAGGCTGAGGAGGTCTCAAGAGGCTTTGCGGACTCAGGAACCCCTGCCCCAACTTACCCCCCCCAGCTACCTCCACCACCGCCGGGACATTGTGCCTCAGAGATGATGGTGGGAGGGCTCCACTGGGGCAGGGCAGCTGATTCCTGGGCACTTAATCTCTGCGCCGTGCTTATGTAACCTTTCTCATGCACAGCAGCTCAGATGCCAGGCACAGAGGGAGAGTAGCACAGCGGAAATGAGGAGTGGCTGGGAGGCCTTGTGCTGAGCTCTTAGCTCGAAGTGTCTCTCTCTAAACTGGCAGTTGGATGCTCACACTTCGGTCATGTTGTCACCACGGTTTCTGGCTTTGACACACTTGACTTACTCTGTGTGACTTTACTCCCCTGGTCCATGGCAAATCCATGAGTTCGATCAGCTTCTCAGATCTGTGCAGATCTGGCTTTGTGGTGGGATAGCTCCCAGTGAAGACACACTTAGAGTACAGTAGAGAGAGTAGAGTAGTTTTAGTGCCATATGTACACATACATTGGAATTCTTAATCGTGCTGATCTCTTGGGACATGCACAGTACAACACCACACAATGTAGACAACGTACGGCATAATGTGGTGGGATAGCTCCCAATAAACACACACTCGGGATACTGTGGTGGGATAACTCCTGATAAACACACACTCATGGAATAATGTGGTGGGATAGCTGTTAGTTAACGCACACGCACTGGAAGTGTGGTGGCATAGCTCCAGATGAAGAACCTTGTTTTGATAGACTCAGTCCCAGACTCGCCAGTGAAACTGAGTGAACTGCATTAAGGCTTTCAATGTATTGATACTGGCATTTGTTCAGAGCTTTGGGTCCACTTTGATCCATCTAGAGGACATGTACAAGTATGTGTTTTGGTACCAGCAGCCTCTCCTGACTAAGAATGTCCAATCTGAAAACAATTTTCTCCATACTGAAGATTTTCAAAACACAAAAGCATTACTTTCTTTGATAATCAAACATGTTAAGGAGGGTTTAGTCAGTGAGTTCTTGGTTAGCAAAGAAGCGCACATCCCTTCCCAGTGTGTGGGGTTAGTCTATGAAGCCCTCTGGAAAAGAGAGGGAAACAAAGCTGAAATTATGCAATTTTGCTTTTTGACCTATGTTGTACACTGTTGAACAGCTTTTGTCTGCCCTCTAGTGGAATATGTTTGTGTTGCAGTGCTTTCCTAAGTAGGTCTTGGTAAAAGAAAGAAACTCATTATTTCTGAAATTTATTAGAATACAGGGATCATGAGGCTTCTGTGTTTAGGAGTCTGCTACCAAATAGGATTTTCCAGTCTCCTTAAAATCATCAACATGTTAACACCTGATGAAGGTGAAACATAACCTGGCTACTGTAAGTCACAGAACGTTTGCCATGTCAGGTCCCTCTGCCTTCTTCTCATCCTGTTGAAAATGAAATATTTGAAATATTTACAACAGCAGCCGTATCACCCTGAAATTCACAGCTGGCAGCCCACTGAAGCTCAGCAGGTGTGAGCTTGGCCAGTACCTGGAGGGGAGACCTCTGGGAAAAACTAAGGATGCTGCTGGAAGAGGTGTTAGTGGGGCAAGTAGAGGGCACTCACCCTATGGTCTGTGTGGGTTCTAGTGCTCCAAGATAGTAATGGAGCACTGTAAAAAGGTGCCGTCCTTTGGATGAGACGTAAAACCGAGGTCCAGACTGTCTGTGGTTATTAAAAATCCCAGGGCGTTTCTCGAAAAGAGTAGGGGTGTTTCCCCTGGCCTTTATCAATCATGGCCTCCTAATAATCCCCCCCCCTGAACTGGCTTCATCACTCTGCTTTCCTCCCCACTGAGAGCTGGTGTGTGGTGAGCGTTCTGGCGCACTATGTCTGCCATCGCATCATCCAGGTGGAGCTGCATACTGGTGGTGGTAGAGGGGATCCCCATTACCTGTAAAGAGCTTTGAGTGTCCAGAAAAGAGCTATATAAATGTAAGGAATTATTATTATTGATTTATCTTTTGAAAAGAATGAAGAACAGTGCTAGTGGTTGTCAGGGTGAGGGTTAAGGTTAGTCTGTCGGACTGTTTTTGTTTATTTGGTTGAAGAATCGGGGTTTTGGGTCAGACTGGTGGACAGCTTGTGGGGGGATGAGGAAAGGGCAATTAAAAGGAGACTCCATGTCACAGTGAACAGAGCGCAGGAAACCAGAGAACCGGTCAGAAGCACTCAAAGCCCAAAGAACAACAGGAGACACTTTTGGAACGAGCCCCTAGGGTGTGTTTTTAAGGCTTTTGCTGAAGACAGGCGGGGAGGACCCAGCAGTCTGATCTGCGGTGGCAGTGCTGCCTTCAGTCCTCATCCGAAGAAAACAGATCCGTCTTTGCCCCTGGAGGAGAGAGAAGGAGAGACACTGATGGCAGGGAGAGGTACAGACAGTGCATTATGGGATGAATGGGTCGAAATGGCTAACAGGTCTTTGTATTTTTGGTATACAGTGATTTCAAAACCTCACTGCCTCCCATTCTGCACCTGCATCAGGTGAAGAGGTGAAGATGTCTCTTCACTGGCTGAAACGAGGGGGAAACTCAGGTAAGTTAAACAAGACTCTGGCAAACTGTTAGTCAAGATATCTGTGCCGGTAACCTACTCTTCCAAATACTGCCAAGGAATCTTTAATGACCAAGAGCCTTGGTCTACCCTAATAATATTAATAATAATATCCCTAACATTTCTACAGTGCTTTTGTGGACACTCCACTCAAAGTGCTTTCCAGGTAATGGGAACTCCCCTCCACCACCACCAGTGTGCAGGCCCACCTGGATGATGTGCGGCAGCCATAGTGCACCAGTACGCTCCCCACACACCAGCTCTCAGTGGGGAGGAGAACAGAGTGATGAAGCCAGTTCAGAGATGGCGATTAGTAGGAGGCCATGATTGGTAAAGTCCTGTGGGAAATTTGGCCAGGACACTGGGGTAACACCCCTACTCTTTGAGAAACACCCTGGGATTTTTAATTATCACAGAGAGTCAGGACCTCGGTTTTATGTCTCATCCGAAGGACAGCGCCTTTTTACAGGTATAGTGTCCCCGTCACTATACTGGGGCATTAGGACCCACATGGACCACGCAGTGAGCGCCCCCTGCTGGCCCCACTAACACCTCTTCCAGCAGCAGCCTCAGCTTTCCCAGGAGGTCTCCCCTCCAGGTACTGGCCAGGCTCACACCTGCTGAGCTCCAGTGGGCTGCCCTCTGAGAGTTGCTGGGTGATAGAGCTGCTGGAATAGTCCATGCACCTGTGGGCTTGTCCAGGGAGCCCCGAGGGAGCTCCCAGCTGTGGGCAGTGCAGTTGCAGTTGGTGCAGTAGTAGAGGGTGGGGACAGTGCTCCTTTCCTTCGGCTCCTCCATCTCATCCTCCTCCTCCTCCTCCTGCAGGAGGTGCCGGGCCAGCTTGACGTGCCTGCCCTCGTCGCTGAAAGCCCTCCTCAGCTCCTCGAAGCTCGGGGTTCCTGCGAGACACACACAGTACACACAAGCGACAGAGCAGCCTTTTCTAATGACCTCTCCACGCCTCCTCCAGCACCTGGTGTCTCGCCACTTGGTCTGCACGCTGCCAGCGGTACTGGGGCACGTGGGTCAACTCTCACGCCCAGACAAACCCAGCGAAGTAGGATTTACAGACCCAGCATGTGACAATTAGGTTTCCGCCAAAGGCAACCATCATCCACCATCAAGCACTGTGTTTGGTTTTCCAGATGGACAATCTGGTGGGTCAAATGACCGATGTGTTCTAACCCCTCAGACCCACTGGCACCTGATACTGGGATCATGTTGTACTAGACATGAAATTTTTTCCATTTCATTTGTGTGTGATCAGTGCAAGAGAGAAACCAACAAGCAAATTCTGCTGTGCTGCTGCTGTATTCTAGGGGTTGTATGAACTGCTCAGTGTTTTTCCTTTAAATTATTTAAATTTATGCTTTAAAGTATTTAAATATATGTATGTGTTCTAGAAAGCTGCAGCAGCCTCGCCGTGTTCTGTGTGTAAAGTAGCACTGGTGCACGTTTCTGAGCTTCAGTTTGTTCGTCAGGCAGGGAAAGAAACCACTTGATCTCTAAGTTGACCGTTTGGAAATGGTCCTGTAGTGGGCGTTAAGAAGAATAGTGAATGGGATATCCAGGCTGGGAGAGTGCTAATAAAATAAAAAATAATCGCTGATTGCAAAATATTGCAGAACCTCCGAAGAGGAATGATAGCTGGAGCTGGATGGCATGAGTGTGCCTCTTGGGCAGCAGTGTTCCTGCTGGGCGGAACGGAGTGGGACTGCTCACCGAAACACGCCCCCGGAGCCCCGGCCCCCTCCTCCCTTCTCTCCCCTTCTGCAGCCCCCCCCGTCTGGGGGGCTGCGGGATTGGCGCTGCCCTCCCACGTGCCCTCGATGGCGCCATCCGTCTCGGCAGAGCTGCATGGACACCACAGTACAGCGCGTCAGAAACAATGGGCAAAGCCAGTGGCAAGGCTGACTGGTTACTGTGCTGAGGCACATTTTCACAGGGGGTTTCGGTCAGGGCTGCAGTGTGACCAGCTGTTCCAGTTTTCCAACTCAACAGCAAAGGGGTTTTTCATTATTTTAAGCATTTTTGCTCCATTGTAACTGTCCTGATGGAGATTTGTGCTAATGAGGCTGCGTGGCCCCAAGTGAGAAGCTCCAGAGACTCAAAGAAA